AAATGAAACGCGAAAAGGAACAGCCGCTGCAGCCATTACAGTAGAATCTCAATGATGCGAATCTCCCGGAATTGTGAAAAATATTCGTATCATGCGAAATTTGCATGATCCAACAAATAAACCAATCAATACACCAAAATAAAAGAAATACCTACTTGCTGTTCGTTTGCTCCCTGCTTATGAGCAGAAAAGTCTGATGTTTTGTTTTTTTGAGGGGGGGGGGTGTCTTCTTTTTTACAAGGTCAGCCAGCAGACACTTTTTAAAATTTGTAAACTCGCGCGCTCGTGTCGTCACTATTGTTGGCCGAGCTTGTGATCTGCTGCAGAACATAAGTGTTCAGCATTTTTGGCCTTCGTTATGCGGCAGAGTATCGACAATGCGAGGCCAAACTCTTTGCAAGTTTTCTTTTTGGGTTGTGGTCAACCTTTCTCAGAATTTCGAGCTTCTTCTCAAATGAAAGTGGCTTCAACTTGAGAGACCTCATCGGCGGTCCTGGATCGCAACCAATGTAGTTTGCCGCAATGGACAGTCTTTGAACGTTTCCAGTGTATCACTTTTAGTTTGACTTTGCCCCACGCCAACGAAAGAGAAAGCGAGGAGTGGAAAGCGTCTGCAAGCTCCTTTGCTTAGCCACCCCTCCCTTGTCCCTCCAACTCACACATGCACACGAGCAAGCGATTTGTGCAACTGAGAGCATGTGGACACCTGCGCCTCGCAGGTGTTTGCATACTCTTAGTTGCTTCCTCTCTAAAATCTTGGCTTTCTTAGAAGGTGCTGGTTGCTTGTGTTGGTCCGGTTGGGTCACACGCGATTACACGGCCTTCCGCTTGAGTGACTCCGAGTTGCTCACCTTGGCGAGTTGTGTCAAGTGACAATTACGGTGGAGCAACGCTGAATCACTTTCGAGGGTTTGAGTTAGCGCTCGTTTGTCGTACAAGTTCTCTTCTTTTTATTAATTTTTAGTGCACTCAGTTTTGTAACGGACCGATACTCACTGGCCCTGTTGTATTAAAGTCTTTTGATGCAAGTAAGCTTTTGCATTTTCATATGTTAAGGTAAACTCTGGAGTGAGGCTGTGACGAGTTAGGAACACGACCATGGTTATTCCGGTTACGTGCGTGTGCCGAGACAACCTTACAACTGCCGCAGCAGTGAGGTGCGCCGCTCGCAAAAATCCAGATGGTGCCTGCGATGTGCACCTCGACATTCCTCAATATTTTAAAATATTGATGGAATTTACGTTCTTGTGACAGGCGCTTTTTTTTTCGCATCGTCCACTGTAGTCGCACTATCCCAAACTGCTACGCATCATTTTTTTCGGCCGGGGTATTTAAAAACAGTTTTATCTTCCTGAAATTCATATCAACTGTGATCATATCACCGAGATTCTATTGTGGCTGCTTAAAGGCCCCGAGATGTCAATTGCAGGGGGGGGGGGGGGGGGGGGGGGGAGGATTGGTGTCATCCCGGGCAAGATAATTGCCTGCAGTAGAGATTGCTCATCTGGCTTCCCATCATATTATATTTCACGGTCACCTTTAACATTTGCAGTGACACCATATCGAAGCCATACTCATCTACAATAGAATTTAGTTAAACAAATCTCTCGGGATCGAGAGAAATATCTATACCGTAAAGTTCCAAAAGAACGCCCACCCAAAATTAAGAGATAAATGGTGAAAAACATGGGGTGGGCGAAGTTTCGGGCCAAGGGCCAAAAACTACAAAAAAAATGGCTGCATTTGACAGATCAGCGGTGCATACGCATTTATTGCTCACTCGTCATCGCTAAATCCATCGAACGACTCATCGCTGTCGCTGTCAAAGACGAGTTGCACTACTTCGTCCACTATGCTCTCCCGAGCTTCGGGCCCCATCGCTGGTTCGTCGCTTACAGAGGCCAGGCGGTGGTTCAACTCCCCGTCTTCTGAGCCGTCGAGGCGTGTTGAGATGCCGCAGCGCTTGAACGACGTCAGGACGGCCTTCTCCGATAGAGATGCCCAAGCCTCGGACACGAAGCTGACGACATCCTGACGCGACGGCTTCTTGAGGTTCCCTTTGGCGGTGACAGCCCCTTCCCGCAAGAAGGAGGACCAACGATTCCTGAGAGCATCTTTGAAGGGCTTCATCCAGCACACGTCTGCTGGCTGGAGAATAGACGTGCACCCGCCAGGAATGAAGACAACGTCGGTTTCCTTCCCGTCGAGGGCCTCCCGCGCTGCCTCTGTCTTGTGAATGGGCGCCTGGTCCAAGACGAGCAGCCGCCTCACGTCGTCTTTGTTGGCACCCCACACCCTCCGCACCCATTCGAGGAAGACCGGCGTAGTCATCCATCCGTTCCTTGAACAGGTCACTCTCACATTTTCTGAAAGGAGCCGAGATTCGGTTTCATTCCAAACTCCGGCAAAGCCAACCACCAACAACCGGAGCAGCCGCAAACACGAAAGCATCGCCGCATCGCTGCGTAGTATTGACGGTATTGATGAAAAAACAAAACTT